CTGTGAAAATGACTCTTTTATTAACTTTTGTATAGCAATTCCTCCTTCTTCTGACTCAACTCACTCAGAACTAATAGCAATCATTCCTCTAATTCTTACCTTACCTATCAATTTTACACTTACTATCTATATAGACAATCTTTCAGCAATTAAAGGCTTATCAAATCTTATATCTCACAAACTCATTTAACAAAAAAACTGGGATATTATCTTTATCATTAACTCTCTTATAATAACTAAAAATATTTCTATTAATCTTATTAAAGTTAAATCACATTCAAATAACTCTCTTTATAACTAAGCTGACTTTCTTGCCAAACATGACACAACTAAACCAATTATAGAAATTCTCTCTTCACACTTTAATCTTCCTACTCACTTTATCTGGTACAATTACACAATAACACTTAAAATTCATTCATTCATCAACAGCACTATTACAATTTAAGAACTTCTCTCCTAAACCTCTCTCAAATTCTTTAACAATTATACATTGAAATCTCACCTTCAAAATTTTTAACTCTCTTGAACATTGCTCTTCAAAATACTCCTTTTATATTAAAGTTCTTACAAATAATCTACCTACTATGCAAAACCTTAAAATCTGATACTCCAATCTCTATACACCAGATGGCTGTTGTAAATGCTCTACAATAGAAAATACTCTTTACATACTTCTATGTCCAAAAAATAATAAAGATATTTAACAATCATTTTTTAATATAACCTCAAACACATTAAATCAACTCGAAATTACATATACTCCATTAATTACAATTCTTAATACTCTCTCACAAGCCACATTCAATTCTATAAACCCCTCAATATAATTTTTTACTTTCTACCATTCTTGGTATTTACTCAACCAATTTATTATACTCTTAAAACTCTATTTAAAAAACAAACTAAATCATTTGCAATTAGTTTTTTAAACAATTTCTTCAAATAGTTCTATCATAAAATATGGCCTCAACAAAATATACATCAACACCAATAGGAATTGGCCTGAAATATTACTAATAAAACCAAGCGTACTAAATTTTTTTTCTACTTATTACCAATTGATTAAGTATAGAAACAACTACACGTCATTCTGGTTATACCGACATCTAGATATAACGACATCATAGTAAAATCTTTTTATACTGATATTTTTTTTCAAAAATTTAATATAAAATGTCAGTATAACTCACTTTACCGACATTTTGAATTTTTTTACTAATGTCTCAAAAATGTCGATATAACCAGAGTGGCGTGTACTACTCAACTATCAAATTTACACTCTACTATTAAAAAATAGTATCTGCAAGGATTTTCCCTAACAACATGTCTTATATAATGTTATAATAAACACCTTAGATTTTCTCCAACCTATTCTAGCTAGATTTATTTTATTCATTTAAACTAATAATAGCACTAAAATAGGAAATAGGAGGTTAATATTACCTTGGGTACTTTGTAGCACAAGTGTAGTTATGGAAATTCCTTTCTAATCAATCTTCCTATAATTTACTTGTTCAAGTTGAAGGGTTTTGGCAGCCTAATCATAAATAAATAACTTATCTGTCTCCTTACCTGAATCTGTAAACTATGGAAAAACCTTCAATCGTCGGATTGATTGTAATAAAGTTTCTACTATGACATTATAATAATAATAATAATAATAATAATAATAATAATAAAAGCCTAGTACATTCTATAAAAATATACATTGTTGTATACCTGTTTCTTGTTAGCGTTAAGTTATCTTAATGTGTGTTTATTAGAATTTATTTTTATCTTTGTTCTTTTGACTTTATTATTTAAAGTTGTTGTGAATACATCTTCATGAAGTTTCTATAATACATGAATATATCTTCACATTCATAATACATATATAGAATTCCATATACCCCATCATGCCTTAAATCAATTCCATTTTGAATTGTCAACAATTAGATAATCAGTATTGATTTGGATATTGGTAAATCCCAATTTCTCCATATGCATTCCTTAAAATTATATTTCACAGTTCCCTTTCTGGCTCTATTTAAATATCTGCTATCTTATATCAGCAACAATATTCACTTTCCCAACAGCACTAGACTAGTTTTCTACACTATTATAAAATGCCACTTCACTCTTAAATTCAATTGTTAGTTTACTATCCTGATCTAAACCGACACTGATTGAAACTAATGCTTTCCCAAACCGATAGTAACAATGGGCACTTTAAAATTTTCCATTTTGATGTGATAAATACATGTGTGACGAATAGTGGCATGACAAATAACACATAAACAAAACTATTATTTATTCGTCACATAAATATTTGTCACACCAAGCAGAAAATTTAAAATATGTATTACGCTTTAAAAATACATGTCGATCTTTGTCAAAACAATCTAATTCTGGTCAAACTTGCAGATCATTTGGATGGATTTTTCATCCAAATGATCTGCAAATTTGACCAGAATTAGATTGTTTTGATAAATATCAACATATGATATCCAACCAGCCCGTATTAAATTTATATACTCTTAGGGTGCATTTATATACTCTTAGAGTACATTTATATTGATTATTATTAAATAATTGATTAAATAATTGATCGGCTATAGTCTGCTATTAGCTGCTTTAGCCGATCGGCTAACCGGCTAAGAGTCGATAATAATAATAATAATAATAATAATAACCGATCGTAGTCGACCGATAGTCGACCGTAGTCGACCGAACCCATCCTACTTGAGAGCACCCTATGTCTCGCTTATTGTTCATCTAATGGTGACTTATTTGGTTAATTATTTAATTTCCGATTAATTAAAATTTTACTTTCGATCCAACAAGTGAAGTGCCTGAGAACTCCTTACTCAGTGCAGCAATATTATCAAATTTTGTCTTTAAGTATATTCGATATACTTGGTACAATAAGTTCATATGAAAATTTATGGAAGAACACTCTTGACAACCAATAAACCTTAGCAAAAGGTATTAGAAAAAAAAAGCTCTCAGTGCATGAGCAGGCGCAAAACTAGTTAAAAAAACAATTATGACCTCATTAAAAATTATTAAATAGTTTAATTACCAAATTAATATAAAAAAATAAATAAAACCCGAATAAATCACTTTATTAATCAACATCAAATTAAATACTCCAAAAATAAAAAATCTTACTAATTAATTTATTTTTAAAATAAATATAAATAAATAACAGCTAAACCTCATTACATAATTTTCCCACATATTCATAATCAATTATAAACAAATAATTCATAATAAAATAATTACTTAATAACGAGACACTTGAAAAACAAGAAACTCAGTGATTAACACATCACATTAAATAATACAACTACGTCATCTTTATAGTACTAAACAAATTAGTCTAAACTAACCTATCACCTAACGCTAACACTTACCCTAACGTAGGCCGAACACTTAATCATATAATGTGATTATCATGAAGATATAACTAGATTCCTTGATCTTCAATCTTCCCTTAATAACAATAAAACATAATACAAATCACACATTGTAAATACAAACCCTCTCGAAAACAACCAAAAGTAACAACCTAATTAAAATAACCTCCCACGAAAATGCTAAAACATATTATTCCAAAATACATATTAACAAATAATATTCACAAAAACAAAACTGAAAACACTCTAACTAAATAACTATAAATAAAAATCTAACATCAAACCTTCAACCGTTTTACCTAAAAAAAAAACTATTAAAAAGCTCATCCCTAATTAAACCACATATAAAATATAATAAAAAGCCGACAATAAATAAATACCATAAAAACAATCATAACAACAACATACAAACAAACAAAATAGAACTTTTTTACTATAATTAAGATGGGTGACATGCATGTGCCACCCGTCGCACTAGTGACATTTTTATGCAGGTGACAGAGTAACATCAGAAAATTTTAATACAATATCTACCCTCTACTATTTGGCAATTCCGGTCACTAATTAATTTTGCTGACGTTTTAGCCTTTTTTGCCTGCGAAGCAGGCAAAAAAAGGCTAAAACGTCAGTAAAAAAAATTAGTGACACGAAATGGCCAAATAGTAGATAGAAGAGTTGAGCAAAGTTTAATAAAAGAAAAAGAAAAGAAAAGGGACGAAGGGAAGGAGGGTGAGTAGATAAGGGAAAGGGTGAGGAGAGAGTGAGAGTGGAGTGGGGTGGGGTGAGACGAAGAGAAGGAAGGGGAAGGATAAAAGGTAAAGAGTGAAGGGAAAAGGGAAGATAGATAGAAAGAGAAGTGATGCAGAAAAAATTTAAACTCTGACGAAGTCACGTAACTTCGGATTTCGCGTTTCTGCGAAATTGAAGGAGTTTCAAACTCCACCGAAACGGAGTTTGAAACTCCGATCAAATGACGAAGTCACGTGACATACGGGAATTCGAATTCCCACGAAAATGGTCGGTGACCCGAAATCGGGTCACGTGACCACGTACGTGATACGTACGATTTTTTTAAAAAAATTAATTAATTAATTATTAATAATAAAAATAGATAAAATCGGCATAACGTTACGATTCGGCATAACGTAACGTATCGGCGTAACATACCGAAATTGGCGTAACGTATCGAAATTCGTGTAACCTATAGATACGTTTTGTATCAAACCTTCGGAAAAAATGTTTTTTAATCTTTTTTTTATTAAAAAAAAATAGAAAAACACAATTTTTGTTAAATTTTTTATACTAATTTTTGTTAAATTAATTAAATTATTAAATTATTATGTTATAGGTTTTAAAAACATAATAAATAAACTAAATAATAGTAAGTTTAATAGAAATTTTAATAAAATATTATAATTTAATATTAAATTTACTAATTTATTAAAACATGTAAAATTTAAAAAGAAGGTAAAAAATTTACAATTAAATCAAAAATTTTAAAAATTTATATTATTCATTTAATAAATGATTTGTTTTATTTATAAATTATACAAATAATTAATTATTTTATTATAAATTTTTTTTTTATTGAGATAGAAAATGCCAAAAGAAAAGAAAAAAAAGAAAGAAAAGAAAGATGAAAAAGAAAGATTTCCTACTCCTGAACATATTCTAGAAACATATCCAGAACCAGAAAAATCTGATGATGAATCTGCAAAAGAAAGGTCTAATAGATTAAAAAGAAAAAGACAAGCAAAATATATGCATTATCAAAAATTAAACCAAAGTAATGCAGGACCTTCAACAAGAACAAGATCTCAAACTTCTAAAGCATCATCAGACTCAAGAGCAAAAACTAAAGAAGACCAAAGAGATAGACAACGAGCTCATAGAGCTTCTATGAGTGAAGCAAAAAAAGAAGAAAAAAGAAGAAAAGATAGAGATAGATATAAAAAGCAAAAAGAAGAACAATTTGAACAATTTTATAAAATAGGATATTGTAATTTAGATGAATATCAGGAGGAGGTCGAAGATAATGGTGAAGATAATGATGGAGATGATGATGGAGATGATGATGGAGATGATGATGGAGATGATGATGGGGATGATAGTGGGGATGATAGTGATGATGATGATGATAACGATAATAATGGGGATGATAAAAAGAACATTGAGGGTCATAGAGTGGGGAAAATGAATATTGAATGTGAACATTGTGGGGCATTAAGATGAAAGGGGGAAAAACCAGGACTTTGTTGCATGAATGGTAAAGTTGTATTAGCACCTCTTCAAGCACCATCACCAGAAATTCTTTATTTTCTTAAAGAAAAAGATCCAAGATCTAAAGTACCATTTGTTGATAAAATAAGAGTATATAATCAAGTATTTGCTTTTATATCAATTGCTACTGATTTAGATTTGAGTGTTGCCAATGAAAAAAAGGGGGCATATTGCTATAGAATTCAGGGTGATCATTATCATCAAATTAGCTCAGCTTTGCCAGAACAAGGAGAAATACCAAAATTTTCCCAAATATATTTTCATGATTCTTCAGATATTGAAGCACAAATTGATAGAAGACATGATGTAATGAAGCAATCATTAAA